CCTGTAAAAGGTTGTTATCCATGCATTGCAAAGACTTGCTTAGTTCTTCCTCTCTTAAAGAAATATTCAGCAGCTGGTCAACCTGAGAACGTTCTATCAAAGAAAACATAAAGCTGTTTTATAGTGGAAGCTTTCTGTGAAAAACATACCTCTTCAGAAAATGAAATTATAAAAATTATTTAAAGTAGGTTATCATTTTAGTACCTAATCAATCTCACAAATCATACAATCAACTCTCATGTTAACTGAACTAGTAAGCAGTCAGAATTGGTAACATAACAGTTTCTCATAGGTCCAAGTATATCACATGGTCCCACAAGATACCTAACGGCCATCTTCCACCAATATCCTTCCATGTATAATCATGTCCGAGGCAAATTAACTGTTCTAGGTTTCACTTCCTATTCTTCTTTTACATACCAATCTCTAAACAAAAAATATTTTGCTTAGATTGGGCTCCAGACAAGAAGTGAATTACTTTCTTCCTAATCTATTCTTTTCGGTCAGTTAACTTAAAAACAATTCTTTATTAGAAACTTCCTGAAGAAATAAAGCTTTAAAAGAGTACTTTTTAAAATAAAATCTACTATAAGTATCTATCATTTTTATGCTTCTCTTTCCCATTCAATATGCCAAGATCACTCTTAAATTTTAGACCCACATATTCAATTAATTGCTACTTTTACTATGGTTTCACAAAGTTCCTTTAACTAAAAGTAAGCAAATGGGAATTCATCTTCTTCCATCCTCTATGTGTTTCTCTCTGTCCCAGCCAGAAATCTTGAGGTCCTTCTTGATTCCTATCTTATCCATTACACCCCCACTCACTCAAGTTTACCTCAATCACTTCCTACAATAGTTCTTATGCTAGAACTGAGTTAGAAAAGATGGAAAGTTAGTGTTATTGAAGCATATTAGTGAAGTAGCATCTAAGACCTTTTTAATTCACATAAGAATAGCAAGTGAGGTGCCTAAAAAATACAAAGTGAAAGAAGGTGTTATAAATGACCAAGAAGACAAAATTTTGGCCTGTCCTCTAATCCCGATAAAAAGTTCCAACATTTTTCTGGCTTTACACAGAACCAAATTTGTTCAAGTGGTATATTTAACATTAATTTATAGACCTATGTGGTGAGATATATACATGCATATTCTACAGCCATCACTGCATGTTCCTTAAACAAAATAGAAAAAATATGAAAAAAATAAAATTAGCTGTATCTGGTAAGCAAAACTGGATCAAGTTGTAAAAAGGCTTAATGATAGATAAACAGATAAGCACACTGCCAGAATATGCTGCCATCATACCTTTTTTCCCTTTGATTTTCCTCCTTTTGTTTTTTCTCTCCAGACTGGGGAGTTCAGAAGACCCATCCTAAAAAGGTTTTTAAAAATTGATTAATATTAATATGTCACTCATTCAATGCAGTCCAGTCAGAATCAATTCATAGCTGACCTTCCAATGGGTTTCCAAAGCAGTAAAATCACATGGGAAGAGAATGTCCACCTTTCTCCCTCATACTTAATAGTAGATCAGAAATGCAAGAGAGGTGCACCCTTTGGGTTAGCTTGCCACTCCTTAAAGACTATACCACCAGAGTTCTCTTATATTAATATGCAAAGGAATATTCAAGAAGCAGCACTGGTAGGACAGTGATTAAAGCACTTAGCTGCTAACAGAAAGAATGGTAATTCAAATCCACCAATTGTTCTGTGGGGGAAAAAATAAGTACAGACAAAGCAGTAATAGATAAATTTTATTTCATCTTGGTAATGTTTCTATTTTAAATTTAGAAAGAAAATCTGTACAATATACAGCTACATACTCTATGAGGCAATTTCCAAGATTCAAGTTTTGCCAAAGGACAAATCTCCAAACTTCAAGTATAATTAATATTATCCAACAATGTCCACCACATAGCATCCAGCTAAAAGGCACAGGAGTGGAATCTGAACATAGATCTAAAACTCATGCTCTTTACATTTCTACTATATAGCCTCAGTGTTAAAGAAAACAATCTGTTTCCTCACAAGCCTGTTTCCAGACTAGCAATTACATCTTTTCAAAAAAGGTTCCTGAAAGGGTTAAATAATAACAGATATTGATGTCAGGAAAACTAAAGTTGTGTCAATGACAGCAGACTCTTAAATGGCCAGTCCAGGTAACTGAAGGACAAAAGATGAGAATAACAGACACTTAAAATATGTCTAATACTAACTCATTTACATGCATTCTATTAGTGCTGCTAGGACTTTGTTCTAAGCCTGCCTAGTACTGGGTCTAACAGTCATACATGCCCTACATATGGATTACTAGAATATCTTTCTTTAGCAGCTGTACAGAATAGATCACAAAAATGGAACAAGCTACAACTGAAGATGTAGCTTACTCCTTGGTGAAGTGATAACAAACAATTATTAGTCTGGAGACCAGTTTTAGAGATGACTTCATATTTTCCCATTACTGTATATTCTTATTAGAATACAACTTAGCACTCTTCAGTGAGAGAAATCAGTAAGACAAAAATACAAATGTAAGAATAAAATTTTCACAATTCTCCTGTGTCATGCCACTTAGAGGAGAACCACCATTCCAAATACCCCAAGAAAGATCAAACTGGTTTCTTTAAAAAGTAAAACATTTTTCTTTCAACAGGCAAATCACCATCTTGGATGTTCTACAGAAAGCATAGGGAATCATACTCACTCCAGTAGCTCTTCGTTTCTTTCTAACACTCTGGCCGTCGTTTTGTTCAGCACCTGAGGTACAGCTGCTATCTGTAGCTGCATCCACCAAACTG